AGCTACTACCCTTCTAATTCTCTCCCTAATCCCTCTGATGGGGGAGTGAGTGAGTGGCAGTGGTGGGGCTTCATTGCTGGCTGGGGTTAAACTTCAACATTATGCAACAAGCCTGCAAGAGGAGAAATAAAGTGTAAGATGCAGAGTTGCTACTTATTGCCATTTAGCTGCTTGCAATTCAATACAGACCGAAAAACCAATGAAAGATTAATGTGTTGATAATTCACTGGCAAATTTTGCAACAGACAGGATTTGTTCAACAAGATGTGTCACAGCAAAGCTGCATCAGAAGAGACTTCTATTTTTCTAAAATAATAGAAAATTTAAAAAAATAAAATTCACCTGACAAATAAACATCACCATAGCACCTGAGATCTATTTCTTGTCCTAAAATCATGTTTATTTCCTATTCTAGAAAGAGTTCTGTATGCCAGTTTCAACACAACAAGTAACTAACAGTCAAACCAGCTTCCATTCTGGTGATATGACCAAAAACCTGAAGAGTTTTCATGACTTTCTTCTGGGTTCACAATGGTTGACTGAAAAGAGAATTTAACTGCTTAATGTTTGAGACTGCAGCAGTATACCGAAATATAAAATAGTCTTGGGATGAAAAAAAGAAAAATTATCGTTTGCTATAAACACAACTGAAAACATATTGAAATAGATTGCCACTCTTTAACAAATTATTAACTAGATTTCAGTGCAAAATTGGTTAGTATTGTAACTGCACCACGTGTATAAGTTTATGTGATATAGCTCAGAAAGTATAAAAGACTTTACTGTTGATATTAGCCACAGAAAAAAAGAAACCAGGCCCACTAATATTCAGCAGATTATAAAATGCTTTTTAATTCATTCAAGAAATCTTAGCACACTATTAAAATAGGATTTCAGCAGAAAGTCTAGCATTTCCCACATCTGCCCTATGAATAATTCAGGGACTTTGTACTTCACTCCTCATGACATTCGAAGAATTTAATCTTCCTTTCATACTTTATAAACAAGGATAAACAAGCGTTTTCACAGAAAGGAAAAAAAAGGATGCAGCAGGTGAAGTATATGCAAAATAAGTGATATAGGTCACCTATTTTTATGAAACTCGGTGACATATTTTGCCAGTGAAAGAACTGATCTTGTATCTGTTCTCTCATTCACAGAATGTATTCTCAAGACAAGTCAATAGATGATACATTTCTCAATGAGGTCTGTTTTAGAACCTAAAGATGAACTTTAGGCACCAGGCTTACAGTTACTTTATTTTTAAATCATTTGTTTGATGGACTTGCATGAATACATATAATAGTGTTTCTTAGGATAAATGCTTAATTTTGCTCTCTATGGGTATAACTAATCATCAGTTATTATAAATATACCTCTCTCGCATAACTGCCATTCAAGACTTCCAGTACACCCACTGACAGCTGCTTTGCCTGTATTATTTCATAGCTTTTCTCACCTTACTCCTCTTTGATAATGACATCATTATCTCAAAATTGTTAGTGATTTACATGGTCTTTACTTATATTGACTCCCCTGTCCATATTAATTAATCTCTCTAATAGTGTTCACAAGATGAAAAGCTTAGACAAAATTGATGATGCTTGAACCAACTTTAACAGGAAGTGAAAACAATTTTAGAGTATATTTGAAATACTTTAACATTAAATTTTGCATCTTCCCTCTGCTTCAGAATATATAATTGAAAGTAGCCACTAGCTCTGCCAAAGTTAATGCATAATTACATTCTATGTTGTGACCCTCCCCAAAGGAAGACTTGGAACAGAGTTTTTTCTGAGGAAACTAATATTCTAGAAAGATATTTCTAATATTTGAAAAAATATTTCCAAAACTTCATTTGTAAAAGGTATTTTTGGATTCATCATTGTGTCTGCTAGAACCAGAAATGCAAGAGCTGATTAAACACTTACCACAGATTATTTGATAATATGGTTTTAAGTGTATGACAGCTGAAAATGATATACTATTTGAAACCAAGACAGTAGGCTGATAATAATCATAAACTAGTATTCAAAGATGAACACTGATTTACAGCATGAATATACTTCTGATAAAGAAGAGAAAACCCCCCCACTTTGTATGCTAATTGCCAGCTAAACATATTTTCTGTTTAGCATGGTTCTAAACTATGGCTAAAACACACTTCAAAAAGAACAACTAGTTGCTGAAATTATAATTTCTTTTATTACTTCATTTTTCAATTTAAAAAAAAGAAAAAGGGAGAGATAAGTATTTGAGAACTGTCCAGTGACCATCTTTTTTCTTTCGGTCTTTTTTTCTATATACACATAAACACATTTATTCTGTTTTTTGCACAATACACTGCTGCCAGAACATCAAAGGCAATAACTCCTGGTAGGCATTTGTATGTTTCTGTGTAGGGTTTGATGTAATTATGACAGATTCATCTGGTACTCTCTCCTCAGAGACCAGACGTGCTAGCTTTGTAAGGCATTTAAATGACATTGTGTCCTTTGAAGTAATTTTGTAAATGGTTTATGTATAATTAGCAGTTATTAAACCAATATATATTGATAAAGCTGCTGAGAGAAAAGATATTAAGGCAAAATATATGAAGAGAATTGTTTGCATGCCCAAGAGGTATACGAGCAATAGAACAATATAAAGATATTATGCAATGAAACGGCTAAACGAAGGAGCAAGGGAAGAGTGATGACTGGAAAGAGTCACAATAATTTAAGAATAGGATGAAGAATTGAAAATTTTATGGAACTGAAAAAATTGAAAATAAGAAAATGGTATGACATTTCTGTGTATATAGAAAAGGAAAGTTTAATAATTTATATCCCAACAATAAATGAATGATTAACCAACCATCTGTCCATGAAGACTGTAAATCTGATAAAGAATAGTCTTCATATGTTAAATATGTATATATGAGATAAAGAATGGATTCAATAGAATAATTTTCAGTTTATTTACTGTTGCATATAAATCCAGGTCACTATGCAAAGAATAGATTTTTTTTGCCTTCAAGCATTGTAAATGTATAAAACTACTACATTTAGTGGTCCATCACTGCTATTACAAAAGCCATGCAGATTTTGGGTCATGCTTTACTATTTGAAACTGGAGATGCAAAGATTCCTGTAAAGACTCCAAGACAAAGAAGGGGTTCATGTGCATTCAGCTGTAGGGGAGATATTTACCATGAGGAGCAAAGTGGCAAAAATTCTGATTACTTTATCTTAGGGCAACCAAAGAGATGCAGAAATCACTGTAGCAAGAAAATATTTTTTCTCAAAAGATATGGTGCACAGGATGATTCAAGCTACCTATTAAAATTTGCTTAATACACAGTACACAGTTTTAATGTGGCCAAAGAGGAGTATGTCTTATCAACTGGGATTTATGATGAGATGTAGACTTTGTTTGATATAGAGAAACATGAGATTGTTCCAGATGATGAGCTGCAGATACCAAATTAAATGAGACTGTGTGAGGAAACTGGAAAGAATGGTTCCAGAAACAAGCTAGCACAAAACTAAAAAGGATTTTACAAGCAGTCTGTTTTTAAATAAAATATGATGAATTGAATGAAATCGATAAAAAATAGGTGGATTAAATTTGATAAATTATGAGTCATGCTGTCACCAGAAAAATAAATCTGGCAAAGCCAGTGCAAAAAAAGTGCAATTGTCAAGATATAAGAAGACATATATTAACATTTAGAAAATTTGGAGAAAAACAAACAAACAAAAACCTCCCACACAGATTTTTTTTCCTTTAGTATCAATGATCTTGGGAAACCACACATAATTTTTATGGACTATGTGACTAACATAAACTAAAAAAAAAAAAAAGAAGCTATTACAGTGTCAGAATGTAATAAAAACACTTAGAAAAAGATTGTGTTTGGGAAGTCTAAGTGGCTGATACAAGTCCTTATTGAAAGAAAAAAGGGAAAATGCAGATTGCAATTACATTGATATAAAATGAAGAAGGTAACTACCTTCATATACTATAAAAATGCAGTAAGATATAAACATGAGGAGGGGTTATATATAATTCTAAGCACTTCGATGCAGAACTTAGAACTAAT